TAAATGGATGCATGTCTATTATTATGTGTTTCCTACAACAACCATGGAGAAAAGTTAATGATTATTCAATAGGTCACTCATGTATAGCTCTATTTATTTTCTTTAGAAGCCACTTTGAAGATACCATAGTACAGTACAACAACTATTGATAATCTTCTACCTCTTTTGTCTGTAACTCACTATTATTTGCCTATTTGTTTCCCTGAGAAACTATCTTGTAGATAAAAATATGTAAAACAATAACCATTGATAACTTCCTAAAAAAAACAAGACCAAACCAAACCAAAACAAGATATATGTAGCAGGCCAGGTATAGCACAGTGGTGAGCACCTGCCTGGTATCCACATGCCCCTGGGGTAGATCCTACTCTGTGTGTGTGTGTGTGTGTGTGTGTGTGTGTGTGTTGTGTTAAAAGCAGCAGAGAATACAATGGTACAATGCACATTTTGTGAAAGAGCTTTTTGAAAGGGGGAAGGACCTCAGGGCCTACAATAAAGCTACAAGGAAACAGAAACAATTCAGTCACATACCCTTGCATGCCCTTCAAAGGCAACCTTGTATCAAGCTGCCTCCCCAGCAATGTGGAAATTTTTAGAAGGTCTTGAAGAAACTTCAGCTGTAATCTTAGCACTTGGGAGGCTGAGGCAGGAGGATTGCTGTGAGTTTGAGGCCAGTATGGGCTCCATAGCGAGACCTTGTCTCCTCCTTTAGCCCCATTCTGCATCTAGACTGCTTCCCAACTACTGGCCCTGCTGACCAGCAACCTCAGGTCATTCCCAGAACTTTCTCTGCCCGTATGTCCATTCCCGTGCTAGGATCCTGCTCATACAGAGGACATTCAGGTAGTGAGGTGGTGCACACCTGCAGTCACAGGTGCTTGAGAATCACTTCAGCCCAGGAGTTTGAGACCAGCCTGGGCTACATAGCCAGACCTTGGCTCACAACCAACTAACCAGCCAGGGATGGTGGAGCATGTCTGTAGTTCCAACATGGGAGAGGCTGAGGCAGGAGAATTTCCAGGCATTCAACGCTAGGGGCTGGGGATTTAGCTCAGCAGCACAGCACCTGCCTGGCAAGTGCAAGGTCATGAGTTCAATTTCCAGTACTGGAAACAAAACAAAACAAAACAAAACAAAAAAAGCCAGCCTGGTCCCATAGTGAGATGCTGTCTCAAAGACAAAAAAACAAAAACAAAACCCCAGCTAACCAACAAGTCAATGAAAAAGAAACTCAGTGAGATTAAGTGCCAAAATACTCCAATAATTGCCAATTTTTCCTGTCATCTAGAACTAAAATCCCAAGAACTGGGAAGCTCCGGGTATGGAGCCTGCTGTTCATTCCTGGGTCTTTCCGAGGCTGCCATCTGGATGCCGGTGAGCTGGACCCGGGTTATCTCCTGGCCCACCTGCTGCACTCACCCAGGGTGACCTCGTGTACAGTTGATGGTTTCAGGTTAGACTTTAACCAGGGTTAATGGGAACTACTTTCTGTCTCCCGCTGGCCTCATGGTGCAGACTTAGGAACTTGATCTGAAAACCTCCCTGCCCGGAAGTACATGTTCTAATGCTTCCAGAACAAAAAGCAAAAGGCTTAGCATTCATTGAACGCTTATTTTTGTACCTGCAACTGAACAGATAGGGCCTGGAAAAATGTGGGAGGAGGCAATTAAATGTTTTTAGAGCCAGGGAGATAGCACAGCGGCACAGCGCCTGCCTGGCAAGCGTGAGATCCTGAGTTCAATTCCTGGTATAAAAAAAAAAAGAAAAAAAGACCATGACAACTAAATATTTTGAGTTAAAAAAATGTCCTTTGTCCCCAGATAACACATATGGATTTAGTATTCTTTGAAAGATAACAATGCTTTGTTATCATAGCTAAAACAACTTAAAAATCGTCAAGTTTCTGAACATCCGACAAAAATTAACAATGAACATGCTCATAATCTCTCTTCTGTGGGAGGCTGAGGCAGGAGGATCACAAGTTCCAGCTCAGCCTTTAGCAACTTAGTGAGACCTTGTCTTTTTTTTTTGTTTGTTTTGTTTTTTTTCCGGTATCAGGAATCAAACTCACGACCTTGCACTTGCCAGGCAGGCACTGTGCCGCTGAGCTAAATCCCCAGCCCCAACCTTGTCTTGAAATAAGAATAAAAAACTAAAAGGGCTGTAACTCAGTGTGAAGACCCCAGGTTCGATCCCCAGTACTGGAGAGGAAAATGTTCAAGGAAAAACCACCATACAATAAAGCCAACTCAAACAGCAAAATGAGAAAAGACTCTGCCGGCCCAGTCCCCCCAGGCAGGCCAAGGCTGTCAGCTCTACCAAGGGTTTCTCAGGTTCCAGGGGCAGCGGGCAGAGGCTGAGCAGGAAGTGGAGGCGGCCAGAACCCGCGTTCGGCTTCCTCTTGGCTGTAGGGGCCCTGTGCGCTCACGGAAGCCAAGTGACCAAGGCTTGCCTTTTGCTTTAGAAATAAACTTCATAATCAGCTGGGCGTGGTGGTGGACACCGGCCATCCCAGCACTCGGGAGGCTGAGGCAGGAGGGTCACCTTGACTTTGAGGCCAGCCTGGGCTACACAGTGAGTAAGGGTCAGCCTGAATGACACAGGGAGACCCTGTCTCCAAAAACCAAACTAACAAACAAACAAAAAAATAACTTCACGATTTCTGGATTTCTGTGTGCTTTACCACAATAATCCCTTTGTGAATCATGATCGCAAAGACAAGCCCAACAAGACAGATGAGCACCACGGTGCACACCCACAACCTCAGCTCCTACGGTGACTAAGGCAGGGGCATCAAGAGTTCAAGACCACTTCAGACAACACAGCGAGATCTCCTTCAAACAAGTTAAAACAGAGCAAGCAAGAAGAAAACCACCTATGAGGAAGGTGGAAATATTTATTTATTTTTTTTTTGTCTTTTTGAGACAGGGTCTCACTATGCAGTTCAGGCTGGCCTTGAGCTCACTTTGTAGCCCAGGCTGGCCTCGAATTCACAACAATCTTCCTGCCTCAGCCTCCCCAGTGCTGAGATTACAGGCGTGCGCCACCCTGTCCAGCATGGTGGAAATACTTAAATATGCATCTAAACTTTAATAGAAGCTGGGCATGTTGGCACACACCTGTAATCCCAGCACTCAGGAGGCTGAGGCAGGAGAATTGCTGTGAGTTCGAGGCCAGCCTGGGCTACAAAATGAGTTGAAGCCCAGCCTGAACTGCATATCAAGACCCTGCCTCAAAAAGACAAAACAAATACTTTAATAGATACCTGCACAGTGAAAACCAAGTATCAAGGAAAGATGAGGATGCCGGACCACTGAAATTACCCCTAAGAAATATGGAGCAAAGGGGATGTGACTCAGTGATAAAGAGCTTGCTGGAGGGATCGGGTCCTGGCTCCATCCCCAGGACGGCAAAAGAAAGAGACAGTGACAAAGACACCGAATGCGCTGGCATTAGACAGATGGCCCAGTTAGGTGGGAACCCTGCAGGCAGCGGCACAGAGGTCCGCACGGAAGACGCTGGTGGAGGCGCAGTCACTAAAGAGGACCCCCCCAACCCCCGTGTGCTTCCCTGGGGATGCACCGCAGTGCAGGGTCTTCTGAACAGGCATGAAGGGCTTGGGTGGGCCCCAAACCTGCCTGCCCCTCCTCTTCCAGCAAAGCCCTTGTGCGAATCCCCATTTGATCCCCATTTAATCAGCATTACCCAAGCAGCTATCCTTGTTGTAATCTTATTGGTTCCTCATAGTTCTGTCCCAGCTCACACCCGCCTGTGGATTCCGGTTGGATCAATATTACCTAAGCAACTATACTTGTAATATTATTGATTGGTTATAGTTCTGTCCCACCTTAAGCCCACCTCACCTTGTGGCTTTGCTCAATAAAATACCCTTGAGAAGTGTCTCAGTGGGCAACCCACTTTCCAGGCCCCCTTCTGTTGCTCTTAGATAGTGGGACATTTCTCTCAATAAATTCTTCCTACTCTTACCCTCTGTTGACCCTAGAATTCATCCCTCGATTCTAGAGAACACGAATTAGGCATTTTGTACATCTAGCAAGTTGGGAGTTTCTTTCCCACAGTATCAGTGGCGCACGCCTGTCATCCCAGCACTCGGGAGGCTGAGGCAGGGGGATCACTGAGAGTTCAAGACCAGCCTGGGCTACAAAGTGAGCTCAAGGCCAGCCTGAACTCATAGTGAGACCCTGTCTCAAAAAGGCAAAAAACATAAAACCATCCAAACACACATTTCTTTGGGGAAAAAAAAAAAAAAAAGCAGCTCCGCCATCTGCCAAGGGCTGGCCCTGGAATAACTGGGATTCCTTGCTACCCACTTCAGGGGCCTGAATATTTGCTTCCAGGTGCTAAGCAGCCTGCCTCAGCCTGGTAACACTCTCGGACAGAGGCAGAAGAATAAAACTAGCCAGCAGGAAACAAATAAAACAAAAAACCCTGCAGTTTCGGAATCCGTGTCCAGTGAATTCATTTTCTCTTTCTCTTCTCCTGGAAGCCTGGGAAATTCCCTTTCACCTTCAAGGGGGCCCAGCCAGTCCCTTTTTGCATTTACAAGGGGGTCTCTGTCACCTGTGAAGAGGCCGCTTGCCACCTGGGGTTCTTTCCCTGTTACTTCACCCCGGGGTCTCCTCTTACACCGCTAGGGCAGGCTGAGTCCACAGAGAATCGATCCACGCCCCGGGCACCCCAAGATCCCAGTCCCAACCTCCTAATGGCCGTGGTCTGGTTTCTCTGAGCCCCAAACACCACTGCTGAGTTCACCCTAAATCTCTGCCTGATGACCCCGAGACTCCAGCCAAGCCGCCGCCGAAGGCCGCAGCCTGGAAATTCTCTTTCAGTCACGGGAGCCCGCGACCTGTACGTTTATCCTACAAAAGGGTGGGCTAGGCTCCCGCTGCAGCCTCAGGGACCTTCTCAGAGCCAGCAGGGCAGGAGAGGCGACAGAGGTGACAGCAGGTTTGCTGTAGGAGGCAACACCCTGCTGGGTGTCGCTGGGGAGACTCAGGTGAAGAGGAAGTGAAGGCTCAATTCCAGCCATCAACCTGTTAGGGTTATTTTTCATTAAAATATGTAACAGTGCCAGGCCGGTGAGGCACGCCTGCCGTCCAGCATAACAGGCAGCTTAGCTAGGTAGGGATGTTATAGGCCATCGGGGAGGGCTGGGCCCAGAAGAGAGCCAGGACAAAAGGTAAAAATCACCACAACCGTGTCAGAGGGCAGGGCTCAAGACAATAAAAGAGCCAGGCCTGGTGGTGTACACCTGTCATCCCAGCACCCAGGAGGCTGAGGCAGGAGGATTGGCACAAGTTCAAGGCCAGCCTGGACCACATCAAGGGCAGCTTGAACTGCATAATGAGGCCCTGTCTCAATAAAAATAAATAAAATAATAATAAAAGGACCTGGCCTACATTCTCCCCAAGGGGTGAGGTAAGTGATAATACCTGTTCTGATAAAGTCTAGCTAGGCATCAGTCCCCTCACTGGCTGACCAAGAACCCGGATCCCTCACCTACCTGAGAAGTTCTTTGTTCTTTCCCCGCCTGCTCCCTACGGGACCTGCCTCCCCATTTGGTCAGTATTGCCTAAGCAGCTATACTCATGGTCTCACTGATCGATCACAGCTGTAACCCACGTTGCACCTGCACAGTTGTGCTCTGTAAAACTTCCCCTGAAACGTGGGATCCAGGGGCCCTTTCTTGTCCTTCTGGTAGGAGCTTTCCCAATAAATATTTCCTACTCTTAGCCACTGTTGTTCCTAGAATTCATTCTTCGGTATTAGAGAACACAAACTCGGGCCATCAGACATCTAGCAGGTTGGGAGTTATAATATTTCCCTTATATCATATTTGGAGGTTCTGATATCAGCCCTGTATCACCAACACTTGGGAGGCTGAGGCAGAAGGATCAAGTTCCAGGCCAGCCTGGGCTACCTAGTGAGTTCAAGGCAGCTTGAACTGCATAGTGAGACCTTGTCTCAAAAAAGAACAAAAAACCAGGCATGGTGGCGCAGGCCCATAATCCCAGCACTTGGGAGGCTGAGGCAGGAGGATCGTTGCAAGTTCGAGGACACCTGGGTTACAAAGTGAGCTCAAGGCCAGCCTCAACTGCATAGCAAGACCTCAAAAAGACAAAAAAAATGGGACTGGGGATATAGCTCAGTGGCACAGTGCCTGCCTGGCAAGTGCAAGGTTGTGAGTTCAATACCTGGTTCCAAAAAAAAAGAAAAAAGAAATTAAATAATTAAATTTTAAAAAAAAAGATGAAGAATCTGAGTCGCAGTTACTTCAGTTTTGTCATTCTGGGTGACCACATAACAGCTCCTGAGGGCCCTAATCCCAGCACTCAGGGAGGCTGAGGCAGGAGAATTGCAAGTTTAACTTCCATCTGAGGAACCTACTGAGACCCTATTTCAAAATAAAATAAAAAATAAAAAAAAAAAAACAACCACAAAAACGTAGCCTAGAGGTGGAGCTCAGTGGCAGTGCACCTCCGGTTCAATTTCCCAGTCCTGAGAAAAAGAAAATCTAAAAATAACAATACGAAGCAAACCCCGGGGTATAGTATTTTGGGGAACTGGAAACGCAGTTTGGCCTTGCCTGGCAGGGAAATGGCCGGGGTTCAATCCCCAGTACCAAACCAAACCACACCACAACACCCCACTTTCTTGAATGACTTGGCTGTGGATCAGCGCTGGAGCCAGGGGCAGCTGCGGCAGCTTTAAATCTCTCGGGGCTGCCTGGTCAATACCTGGGCTGGGCTTCACCCAGGGCCGGGCCTGGGGGCCCTGGGGAGAGAAGGCCTGCCCCCGGCATCCTGGCTGGAGGTGGACTTCCCTGTAAGGCTTGTTAAATAGCTCTCATACACGTTTGCATTTTCCCAGATAATTTCCTTGTCAATATTTAATGTGTCCTAAATTTGAAAAATGCAAAGAAAATAAACTTGGGGGCCTACAGGAGAGCACAACAGGTATTTCTGAGGGTCTTTTGTAGTTATCAAATTAATTTACAACAGGTGTGCCACAGACGCTCCTAACCCCAGCTTCTGCGGAGGCTGAGGCAGGAGGGTTATAAAGCTGAGCTTAGCCTAGACAATTTGTCTCTGAAAAAGGGCTGGGGCCCGGGTTCAATCCCTCGTATCGATGAAAATGTAAAAATAAAATGAATTTACCCTTCTCATACCCACCCCCCTTTGCATTAGGTTACCCTGGAGGGGCTGCTTGGCGCGTGCCACCACGGAGACGACGTCCACTCAGCCTCCAGGCTGCGCCGAGCTGGAAAGCCCGACTTTCGCCACCTCTGGACCTGCCGCCGGCGACTTCCAAAACTGTGGGGGCGCGGGCGGCCCCAGGGCACTGCCTGGTTCAGCGCCCCAGGGGCCCTCCTGACTCTGCGGCCGGTTCCGCGCTCAGGAGGAGCCCCTGTACGTGAATAGATGCTGTCCCCCGACCCCCGCGCTTCCCGCGCCCCCGAGACCGGGTCCCAGATTTTGTACCAGAACACCCGGAGCTCTGTTCTTGTGGGCGCCCCGTTGGGGCGGGGGGGGGAGCTGCGACAGCCACCTCCGCGGGGGACAAGGTGGACCTAATTCAGACGCCCACAGGGCGACGCGCGCCGGCTCCCGCGCGAGGGGACACTCACCCGCTGGAAGTCATCGCGGAGCGCGCGGGCCGGGTGACCACTCTGCCGACTGCGCCACGCAGGTCCTCCGGGAGCCGGGCGGGTGGAGGAGGCGCGAGGGTTAGGGCGGCGCCGCCCGCGCTCCACCCTCCCTTCGCAGAGCCCTGGGTCCCTGCGCGCACGGCCGCGCGTCCCACGCCCGCGTCGCCTGGTCGGTCCCTCTGATCTTCCCCGCGGAAAGGACCACGGTGACCACTGCTTGCCCCCCGCCGGCGGCCGTAACCTGAGCTTTATCTCAGCGGGGTCATTTATCACCGTGGGCCTGCGAGGTGAGTGCGGGAGCTCGCCCCACTTTCCACACGAGGAAACTGAGGCAGAGCGGAGCGAGAAGCTAGCAGCGGAGAAGCTGGGATGAGGGCGGAATCGGGGGACTCTACTTGCGTAGGGGGTCAGTGCTCAGGCCCCGGCAACCTGGGTGGTTCCACTGGGTAGATCTGGGGCTGGGGACCCTGTGGCTTCTGCGCTTTACCCACACCTGGATGGGGCACGAGGCTGGGCAGAGAGCCGCACCAGGCGCCGGCTTCCTGCCTCACTCCCAGCCTGAGCTCGTCAGCGCGGTAAACCGGGATGCGCACTGAGCAAGCGCTGCAGCCCTGCGCCGGCCCGCCCCGCTTCCTGGATTCCATCTGGGACCGCTCGGTGCTTCTCCGCCGGTCGTAGGGCTTCTCGCTCCACCTTACACAAACACAGTCGTCCCGTCGCCCTGCTACCCCGGGCCAGCTCAGTCCTTCTGCCTAAACTGCGGCCAGGGGTCCACCGCCGCCCCACGGCGAGTCCGAAGTTCTCAGCCTCGGCCCCGGCCCAGTCCCCATCCCACCCCCAGGCCGGCTCGGAAACCTGAGGGGAGCGACCCGACCCGCAGGCCTGGAGGAGAATTAGGAGTCGAGTGGCCACACCCCTTCCTCGTGATGGTGTAGTCATGTGCTACAAATACCTACTAATGACAATACAAAAATGTAAAATGAAATGAAAACGACTGGCGAACGGATGGTATTAGACAACAAGCTATGAGGCCGGGTGTAGCGGCGCGTATCTGTCATCCCAGCACCCGCGAGGCTGAGGCAGGATCGCTGTGAGTTCGAGGCCAGCCGGGCTACATAGCGACCCCGTCCCCCTCAAAAAAAGAAAAGAAACGAAAAGCAAGAAAGAAAGTAAAAGAAAAAATATTTTGTGCCAAATGGACAGCGATAGTAAGCACGAGACGAACCGGCTCCGCTTTTGGCATGGATGCGCGCAGGTGCACTGCTACGTCCCCAGCAGGGCGTCAGGGGACCCTGGAAACGCGAGGCAGCCGCAGAGCAAGAGACGAGCAGGGACCCCGCGAGTCAGGAGGCGCCCCGAGCCCGCTGGGACTCCAGCCTGGGTGAGGTTGGGGAGCTGCAGCCGCAGGTCCACCGCGGCTTGGGCAGCACGGGGTCCCCCGTCCGGGAGTGGGGGCAGCAAGCCCAGCGCACCAAGTAGGATTTGGGGCAGAGCGGCGACCCTTGGGGGCGACCTTGGGCATGATCGAGGAGGATGTGATGGAGCCCTGCTGCTGCTCGCGGCCGGGACAGGGCAGTCACTGCCGCTGGCCTCCTGTGCGCCTCCTGCGATGTTACCAGACCCCCGGAGTCTCTGAGAGATCCCAGGACTTGACTGTACTTTTGCTTTGTTTTGTTTGAGCCAGGGTATCGCTATGTAGCCCAGGCTGGCCTCGAACTCGAGGCGATCGTCCTGTCTCAGCCTCCCTGCTGCTGGGATGACAGGCGTGAGCCACCATGCCCCGCAGCACTGATCACACTTCCAGGGCCATCAAAGGGGCCAAGCCCGGAGCCCCTCCCTCCAAAGCCAGTGTGGCAGCCGCTCTATGGACGGCCCTTGCCCTGTCTCCCCCTCCTGGGACTGGAGGACAGAAGTCGCCACTCCAGTGTGGCTGGGGGTGGGGGGCATTTGCTCTCTCTCAGCTGGGTATTGAGCTCCTGCCTGTCCCAGGTATCAAGTCCCAGCCAGGCAGTGTCTGGCGGTGCCCAGGATTGGGAAGCACGGGCACCCAGGGCACCTGGGCCCCAGCGCGGCCCTGACAGCCCCTACAGCCACTGTCCTGGCTTCCCCAAGGGTGGACACCCAGTGGTGACGTGGGCTTTCCCCCTGCGGCTGCTGCCTTATATGGCCGGGTGGGACTTCTGCTTGGCCAGGGCTGCGGGTCCTTTGCTGGCTGTCACCTTTGACAAACTGGCAATTTCCTTAGTAAATTCAAATTTCCCTGTGTAATTTTGGCCACGCCAAGGCCCAGGACACCCACCTGTCTTTTTATGCAGCAAGTCAAACTGTACAGCCTGGCTTGGTGTCTTGCACACCTGTCATCCCAGCACTCGGGAGGCTGAGGCAGGAGGATCACAGGCCTCCGGGGGCAGAAAGGGCCACGCATCCCAGGAAGAAGCAGGAGAGCAAGGGGAGGATGGAGCGGCCAGGCTTGCTGGGTGTCCCGATAGGCCGTGAGGTGGCATAACATCGCTGTCCCCGGGCGGGGAAGAAGAGCGCGCGGTGGTTTCCAAGCAGCGCAGGGCCGGCGAACTACGCAGAAGTTCCGAGTCCCCTCCCCGCCTGCGGCTCCCAGCTCCATCCCACGACAGGGGTGTGATCCGCACAGCTGGGTAACCCGAGCCCCGCGGCTTCCGAGCCCGCCCACCGCTGAGCTGCCCCAGCCCGCGCCTGTGAGGTCTGCAGGGGCCGCGCGTCCTTCCCCAGCCCGAGAAAGCACGGTATAGAGTGGCTCCTGGTCGGTACCTGGAGCCCCAAGATAAAGTTGTTTTTCTAACAAAGCTTTTTATTTATTTCTTTATTTCTTTTTGTCTTTTTGAGACAGGGTCTGGCTATGCAGCTCACTTTGTAGCCCAGGCTGGCCTCAAACTCCCAGCAATCCTCCTGCCTCAGCCTCCTGAGTGCTGGAGTTACAGGCGTACACTACCACATCCGGCTTTATTTTATATTTCATTTAATTTATTTTTTTTTAGTTAGGGTCTTGCTATGTAGCCCAGGCTGGCCATGAATTCCCAGTGATCCTCCTGCCTCAGCCTCCTGAGTGCTGGGATGACAGGCATGTCAGACTTACACCACCATCCCTGGCTTATTTTTCTAACAAATCTTGAAGTTGTTGTTCAGAAGTAATATTCCACCCGAGGCTCTGAGGACCCTCGGTGGTGCACCTGACCTCCTCACAGCCCTAAATCTTTTCTATAGCACCTGGCTCCTGCATCCCAGTGGGGAGGGTGCTTTTCCAGATGACTTCCTTCCTTTACCTGGAATTTAAATTCTTTTTTTTTTTTTTTTTCTTAATTTAAATTCTAGGGCTGGGGATATAGCTCAGTGGCACAAGTGCCTGCCTGGCAAGCACAAGGTCCTGAGTTCAATTCCCGGTACCAAAAAAAAGTGCATGTAAGTTCTAGACAGCAGCACCACAATGGTTCAGATGCTGACTGCTCAATCAATCTCTGCAGATTTACAGAATCCAGACCTGGTAGCCACTGGGTCCCATCACATGACACAAGTCCCCTCTACCGCTGTCCTTGCTGCACCGGCTCACTGGACGCATGCAAATGAAGGGAGCCCTGTGACACATGACATCAGCACTCAGGAGGCTGAGGCAGGCTGCAGCGAGGCTTTGTCTCCCAAAAAACTGAAAAACAAATCACACAGGATCTCTGTGATCCTAGGGGATGACGGTAAGTGATGAACAAGGAACCTTCCGGAACTTCCTGCCTTGCCCGGAGAACCCAGAAACATTTTCCCTGATCTGCAGCCCGCTCAGCATCCAACAAGGCTGCCTGGGTCTTCAGCCAGAAGTCAGTCTAGGAACGGCTCCTTCTCCGCACACCTGGGGCTCTTGGGCTTCTTTTCGAGCCTGTAGCTGTCTTGCCTAAAATCCATGTTTCTTTGGATCAAGAGGATGCTAAGTTTATCAGACCAACGGGGGTCTTAAGAGAGAACCTGGATTAGCATATTTTTCTCCAATAGGAAATTCAATACAAATGCTATAGAAAATTTTTAACGTTGTTTTGTTTATGAGTTGGGGTTTTGTTTTGTTTTGCTTTGTTTTGAGCCAGAATCTTGCTTCGTAGCCCAGGCTGGCCTGGAACTCCCAGTGATCCTCCTGCCTCAGCCTCCCGAGTGCCAGGATGTCAGGCGTGTGCACCGTGCCCAGCCTCCAGCAAGGTCTATGATCGGGATCTCAGGAGGCATAGAATTGAAGTAACACCCTGGTGGCTAGTTTGTCAGCCCAGCAGGAATTAGAACTGATGTCCTTTACTCATTTTGAAAGAATTTGCCTTTACGTGTATCTTTAGGTGAAGGATTCCTTCTGGGGAGAAAGGTGTCAAGCTGGACGTGGTGGCACACGGGCCTCGGGAGCCGAGGGAGGAGATCGCAGTGAGTTTGAGGCCAGCCTACGCCACGTAGTGAGACCCTGTCTCAAGCTCGAAGTCTTCCGAGCGCAGAAATAAGAAGCACTGAGGAGAGACTGACACTGGACACCGTCAGACAGCGGGACGGATATAATCAGAAATTCCACTGGACTCAGCTATTCCCCTTCTAGGATCTTACCAAAGAGTTAAAGTCCTCATATTCCAGGGAGCCATGCGCACCCATGTTTATAGCCGTACAGCTCATGGCAGCTACATCTTGGAAGGAGCCTCTGCGTCCATCAACAGGTGGATAAAGAAACTGCAGTATTTACACACAGTGGAGTGTTACTCTGCCGTGGAGAAGGTTAAACCTGAGTCATGTGTGGGCAAATGGACGCACCTGGAGAACATGATGTTCAGTGAAGTAAATCAGGCACACAGCTTACATCGGCGCTGTTTCCCTTCTGCGGGAAACCCAAGGTGTAAATAAAGAGCAAAGCAGAAGATCGCAAGAAATGGGGAGATGGATCCCTCTCGGCAGGGAAGGGGGCCCAGAAGGGGAGGGGTGAGAACCCGCGCGGAGCTGAGCTGTGCCGCGCGCACCTCCTCCCGAGGAGGGCGAGCGTTAGTACTGCACACACGGGCCGAGAGAATAAGACATAAATATTAAACATGCCTTCATGGAGAAAGCACCGTCCTCAGGGCACGTCCGGAGGGAAGCAGCTGGACGCCGGATTCCGCCCCCGGAGACGAAAGGCAGGAGGGCGAAGGGAAAGATACCGCTCCGGGACACGAGGCCGCCAGGGCCGGCATCTGCGCGCCTCGAGGCCCAGCGGCTCCGCACCCGCGTGACGACCCACAGGCCGGGGCACGGGACAGTCCTGCCGGGTGGTCCAGGCGGCGGGGTGGACGCTCAGCACGCTCAGCACGCCCGGCAGCGGCTCGAGCCTCGCTCTGCCCGTCGCCTGTGTAGGCGCCACGGTCCACCCGGGGCTCCCAATCTTCGGTCTGCCAGCCACCATGCGGGCTTGTCCTGCTGGTCCTCCGTTATCTAAATTTGCCTTTTCTGCTTTTTCCGGATCCACTGGAATCTTGCCTTCTTTTAGTACAGAAATTCTTATTTGGAGGGGAGGGCTTGAGACAGGGTCTCATTATGTAGTCCAGTCCGGCAGTGATCGTCCTGCCTCAGCCTCCTGAGGGCCTGGCATTGCTGGTACTGAAGCACCACCGCGCCGGACGGCATTTTACCTGTATGTGATTTCAAGAGCTCTGCATAGAAGGAAGTGAACACATGCTGTGTAATGAAGATAGTTTTGTAGGGCTGTTTATGTCTGTCTCTTTCTTCCTGGTCCTAAGTTTTAAGAGTTCCGGCAAGTCACAGAAGCCCTCAGAAAGCTGAGAGAGGCTTGGGAAAGGCGAGAACCCCGAGAACAATAGGCGGGTGTCAGGCCTGTGAGGGTGGTCCGGCCCCAGAGCAACCTGTTTGTCAGGTTCCACATTCACAGACCTGTGTGTTCCAGGCCAACCTCACTTCACACGAGTGGCCAAACCAAGGGCATGAATGGGAGCAGCCCTCTGAGACAGAAGCAGAGACGGGGCGTGGCAGGGGCACTTGGAGCCCCGCCCCCCGCAGCGACACAGACCCCCACAGCCTCCTGTGCTCCCCTCCTAAGGGCCATCGGGTGACTCCCTTGCCCCACAGCCTGAGGGCCACCTTGCCAGGCCTGTGGCACACACCTGTGATCCCGGCACTCAGGAGGCTGAGGCAGGAGGATTGCCACCTGAGCCTCCGGCTTCCCTTCCTCCGTGGGATGGTGGCTGAGTGCCCAGGCCACCTTCCGGAGAACGGAACTCGGGGACGGTTTTATGTGTGGTCAGTGTGACGAGCATTGTTTCCAAGTTTTTGCAGATGTTGAATAGGTCCCTAAGGAACACGGGTGCTGAACTGAATGCAAACACACCGGTATGCTGCACTTTTTTTGTTTTTAATCTGTTCTTAAGAAGGAAACTTAAGTTTTTCCAGTTCACTTTTTAGGTGACTTGCCTAAAAAACAACCATTCTATCATTTCTTTTTTGTTTTGTTTTGTTTTTTTCTGGTACTGGGCATCGAACTCACGACCTTGCGCTTGCCAGGCAGGTGCTGTGCCGCTGAGCTAAATCCCCAGCCCTCTATCATTTTTTCTGTTTTTTATTTTTATTTTTATTTTTATTTTAAAGAGTAAAAGAAGGATAACATAGTAATAGGGGGGCTTACCAAATTACAGACAAAATGGTAGGACATTATCAATGGTTATTGTTTTACATATTGTTATCTACAAGATAGTTTCTCAGGAAAACAAATAGACAAATAATAGTGAGTTACAGACAAAAAAGGTTGGAGATTATCAATAGCTGTTGTACTATACTTTAGTATCTTCAAAGTGGCTTCTAAAGAAAATAAATAGAGGTATACATGAGTGACTTACTGAATAATCATTAACTATTCTCAACGGTTGTTGTAGAAACACATAATAATAAACATACATCCATTTACGAAATAGCATAGGAACAATACACACATTACAGAGTTATGGATAGATTAGTAGGAAAATATCAATGGCTGCTGTAATACATGGTGGTATCTTCAAAGTGATTCATTTCTTGTGTATCTTTAAAATTTTTTGACTAGACATGGTGCCGCACACCTGTAATCTCTGCATTCAGGAGGCTGAGGCAGGAGGATCACCATGAATTCCAGGCCAATCTGGGCTACAAAGTGAGACCCCCGTTTTGAAAAAAAGAAAAACTGGGGAGCTGTTTTATCACCTTCGTTTTATTCCATAATGATGCTACTGGATTACATGTTTTAAGCTATTGTTAAGCTAAACAAACTCTAAAATTAAGACCTTTGGGTTTAGAACTAACTTTGGGATTTCCAAAGGCCCCTGACTGTCCCATAAGACACACATTAGACCTATATTTATATAAGTTCTTTTTTTTTTTTTTCTCTTTTGAGACAGGGTCTCACTATCTAGTCTAGGCTGACTTTTTTTTTTTCCTTTTGTGGGTAAGTCTCGAGCAAATGCTGGGACCACAGGCATGTGCCACCACACCCAGCCTGGTTGATTATCTTTGATACACATGGATATTACTGTGGGAAGCTCATGTTTCATGGTTCAAGATCACTATTCAAACTGAATTTGCAATTCCAGCACTCGGGAGGCTGAGGCAGGAGGATCATTGCAAGTTTGAGACCAGCCTAGGCTACAAAGTGAGCTCAAGACCAGCCTGCACTGCATAACGAGACCCTGCCTCAGAAAGACAAAAAACAAAACAAAAAACCTGAATTTGGTTTGCTGGTCTCGGTTTTGTTTTGTATTTTCCTTGTCAAACTTTGTAAATTCTGCCAAAGCACAAGCCTAACAAGCAACCCCACATGTGCCTGCTCCTGGCACCCCCTGGGGAGCGTTCTGACTTCTGAAACTCCTAGGCGGCTAAGGGTGGGTCTGAGCCTCTCAGCTTTGTTGCTGAGTGTGGCAAAAAGGCCTAATGCCAACTCTCAGTTGTCGCCCCCTGCGTTAGCCAGGGTTTCATTACTGGGACAAAGTACCCCACACATACATGAAAGAGGAAGGGTTTGCTTCGGTTTAGGGTAGCAGAGGGTTCAGTCCATCGCTGGCACTAAGGAAAGAACATCATGGTGGAAGGGGATGGCAGAGGAGAGCTGCTTTCTTCATGGTGGCCAGGAAGAAAGAGCCAACAGAAAAAGAGAGACGGAGGGATTGAGGACAGGGACAGGGTTCCCTTCAAAGGCACGGTACTGTATGTGACCTGCTTTATCTAGCCACGCGGCTCCACACGCAGCAGTGTGGGGCATGCTCATGCACCTCAGAATCCAGCCACCTATCCAGACCCCCACCTCTCAACACTGCTGCTGGGGAGCCAGCCCTCAATGCATGAGTCCCCAGGGGACGCTGCATATTTAAACCACAATACTCTTCATCCAATCAGGATAGCTCCATCCTGGCAACAAAGGGCAACTGATATCAAACTGTAGGATGGCTGATCAGCAAAAACCATACAGAGATAAGGGTGGAACAGTAAGAAATAGAGATATGGGAATCAAGATGGAGTCACTTCTATCAGACTTACAAGAAAGTCATAAATGGCAGGTGCAAGGTCCTGAGTCCACTTCCTGGTACCAAAAAAAAAAAAAAAAAAAAAAAAAATTCCCCAGGGATATAGCTCAATGGCATAAGCACTTGCTGGCAAGCCCAAGGTCATGAGTTCTATTCCCGGTACTAAAAAAAAAAAAAAAAAAAAAAAGAACAAAGTCATAAAGCTGGGAGGCTTCAGGGTTCTCACGCCTGCTCTCAAGACACTAGAAGCAAAGGGTCTTTCACAGGAGAGTACGTGGCTTGGACAGGGACCAAGGAGGTGGAGGTGAAGAAAAAGGAAAGTGTTTTCAGCGATCCCAGACATGGAGACGTTCAGACAGAGAGAGGACCCCCTCCGTGATTTATGTCGTCGGATGCCTCCTGGCTTGGAATCCTTTCTGTGCAAATGTGTGTTTTGCCTCTTTTGTGCGTGTGTTTGAGACAGGGTCTCACTCTGTAGTCCAGGCCAGCCTCAAAGTGGTCATCCTCCTGCCTCAGCCTCCCAAGTGCTGGGATCACCAGTGTGTGCCAGCACGCCCGGCTGTTTCCTTCCTCGGAGGGCATAATGACTCGCTTGATACTTTTACACTCAGACATGAGCCTCTGGCTGTTTCACCAGCGCGCTGCAGCCTCTGTTCCGACACCCCTGTCCCGTCTCGCTCTCCCCGTCACACGAGCTCAGCACGCAGCCAGCGAACCAGCATGCGTTTCCCGGTGAGTGTTGACCTCTCTGCCCGGCCGGCAGGAGAGAATCAGATCACCCCGAATCCCCCTGAGAGAAATAAGCAAAGATGAGAACTGTAACCGGGCCGCTCCTCTGGAGTATGCTTGGCACAGCCCTTCATTTGCCCTTCCCCGAGTTATGCCCGCTCTAATCCTCCCACCCCGGGAGACAGTTCCTAACTGCTAGCTCCTTGTTTCTGTCTGCTGATCTCCATGACAAAAGGCTTTGGTGTTTAGTTCTGCACACTGCTGTCAAGTTCAGCTTGTAACAGGTGTTATGTCTGAGCCACGTGTGGCGGTGCACACCTCCAGCACATAGGAGGCTGAGGCAGGAGGATCCCAGTGAAATCAAGGCCAGCCTGGGCCACATAGTGAGAACTTACCTTAAGAAAAAAAGGTTAAGTTTGGAATCAGTTACTTAATTGCTTACCCTCATTATTCCTTGAATTTGATGAGAAAAATACTAATACAATGCATTTGTATTAGATTATTTTGTCTTTTCTATATTTAATTCTCAATGGGCCAGGAGCTAAATCAACTTCATTACTAAGAAAATAATGCCATTCTACTCAGCAGACCCAGTTTTCAATCACCTGGGAATTTTTCCCACTCTTGGCTTGGTTTGCAGTACTAGAGATCAAACGGGGCTTTTACATTGAGCTACATTCTCAGCCCCTTTTTTCTATGTAGGTGTGCCCCCAAAGTGTCCTGTGCTCATAGGTGGGGCTTCTCAGAGCTGGTGGGGGAGAGTGGCGGGGAGCTAGGGCGTGTACTGCTAGGAAGTGATGCTGGGATTGACTCCTGGTACAATGCTAGGGCTAAGGCTGCTCCACCCTGGGTGTGTTATCTGCCCTAAGGCCGTGCAGCCTGGCTAAGGGACAGAAAGGGGGTCAACGCTTGTGGCTTGAGGAGACTTGTGGCTCAGTGTGACTTGCTACTTTTGCTGCCTCCTGGCAGCCATGAGCTGGTTCTCCTCTGCCATGCCACCCTGCCTTGGAGCCAGCCAAAGATGAATTGAAACCTCCACAAACTGAATAATCTTTCCGTCCTTTTCAGTTCGGGTGCCGGGTATTTTGTCTCAGCAATGAGAAAAGTAATTTTTTTTTTTTTTTTTTGTACTGGGAATCAAACTCATGACCTCAGCCTTGCCAGGCAAGTGCTTATGCCACTGAGCTGCACCCCTGGCCTGAGAAAAGTAATTGAGATAGCTGCTAAGTTACTCGGGCTGGGTTTGACCTCACAATCCCCCTGCCAGGGCTTCCCAGGAAGCTGCGGTAACAGGCATGAGCCTCCTTGCCAGGCTCTCACAAACTTTCTTTTTTTTCCAGTACCAGGAATTGAACTCACAACCTCACACTTGCCAGGCAGGCGCTGTGCCGCTGAGCTAAATCCCCAGCCCCTCTCAGGAACACTCTTAAAACTCTTTCCTTAATGCTACTTTTCACTGGGTCATACAATGCTCC